CACACACACACACACACACAAACATACACATTCCTACATGCACATACACAGATAACAAAGACTGTAAGATAATATGAACAACCCCTTTAATAGATGGAAAACTGAGGTGTTATAAAGTCAAGCTTTTTTATTCCAAATTTAGAAGGTTTTTTTTTTTCTTTTTATCCTCAAGAACGTTCAGAAAATGAATGGTCATGGTTGCATGTTGTAAAAATAAAAATTATATAGGTTGTATGATATTCTACAGGCTTAATAAATTTTAAATATATTATAAATTGTAGTATGTTGCATGAAAAGCAAAATGAGATGATGATGAGCCTTCTATTATTGCTGGGGCATGAACTTCACATGACTTCACACAGACTTAGGGTCCTTTGAGCGGATATAAGTCTTCCTATTGAGCAATGCCATCCAGAATGCCCTGCTCACAAGAACTCTCCACTACTACACAATGGTGAAGTCAGTCTGTCCTCACTGAATTCTATTTTTTCTTTTTTGAGGTGCTGATGATCAAACCCAGCTCCTTGCACCAAGGACTCTTTCACAGAGCCACATTCCCAACCCCTCCCAGTCCTATTGTTTGGTGAAAGAACACAATATTGTCTTATGTGAATGCTGTTCCTGATTGAGGAAAAAATATTTCTTTAAAAAATCTTGTTTTAAAAATTAATATCTCTTAAAATGTGGGAATCAGATGATTGACAAACATTTCCAAATTGAGAATCATCTTTCAAAATTCAGGAAATAACTTGCAAAATAGAGAAGGAGATTTCCACAACTGTATAATCTAATAGTTTAGATTAGTTTTAAAAAGAAAAAACGTGCTTTTAAACAAATATCAAACGTGGAAAACTAAGTTTTCATTTAAGAATATATATTTCTAAAATTCCCTTCTGATTATTTATTTCAACAATGGAACTTATTTTTTAGATTAAGAAAATACTTTTGTACCTTAAAAATGGTTTATGAAAATGATTTGTTTAAATCTGGATGTTCATTCTCTGCTGGTACAAATGTAACTTACTCATTATCTGAATGGTAGTTAAGGGCTTTTCTTGAAAGAAGGTAGATAATAAAGCAATAAAATGACCACTTGGTAAAGACTGTTCCTACTTTATGACAACCTATTAACCTAATGAGGTTGCAGTATTTACACTTTAACAACAAAGGAATCAAAAATGAAAAAATAGAAGTTCAAAAGTTAGATTTGAAGTTCCCACAATTAATTATTACCAAAGCTAAGATTTGAACTGCGGTATCATCAAAAGCAACATCGGCACCTTATTCATCCATCAGGCTGCATAGTTTTCATTATAGGGAAACATAAGGGATAAATTCTCTCATTTCATCTTTATAACAAATTATAAATATATGACCTTCATGTTCCTGAGAAATTGCAATATGAGTAACAAATTGGTATTTTTCATCTAA